CCCTTCTCTTGGGATTTCTTCCACCAATGTCCACTTATGGACATTGACAGGTGACAGCTTCCAGAAAATGGAAATGCCCACCCAGCCTTTCACTGGTACAAGGACACCTGCATGATGGTAGGCAGTCATATTTTTGTTGGTGCTTATGAGCATTTCTCTATACACTCAACCACAGGATAACAATAAAGTAATAATAACCCTATAGCACTTCCATATTCCTGCTGCCTTTCTTTTGAGGAGCTTAACGAGATTTGAGGAAATCGCATTACAGTATCTCTTAAGGATGTTTCTGTGTCATGTGCTTCTTATCACTCTGGGGTGTCTCCTGTGAATTGTGCACTATCTACTGAGTGTTGGACTGGGGACTTTGCCTACATCAGCCAATTTAAGCCTTGCAACGACCCACAAGGGAGTTAGCATTAACACCATCCTGCAGATGAGGAGACTGAAACTCTCCTCTGACAGATTGTGCCAGCATTTCAGGTGAGAACGTCCTGATCACATGGTATAGGGGTTGGGAGTCAGGCTGCCCCGAGCTTGAATCCTGAAGGACTGTGGATAAGTCACCATTCATCTTGGAGCTTTAGGTTCCTCATCGGAAACACAGAAATCACGTTTGTACCATATAGCAATGGTTTAACTTTAGCTGTACATTCAGATCACCTGGGAAGCTTTTGAAACACTGCATGCCCAGACCCCACCCAAGACCAATTAGACCAGAAGCATTGGGGGTTTATTTTAACCTTACTCCTCATCCCCAGAGGTTTCTCTCACAGTTCTGGAGGCCAGAAGTCCTAAATCAAGGTGAGGTTCTAGGGGAGAATCCTTCCTTGCCTCTTCCAGCTTCTGGTGGCTCCAGGAGTTCCTTGGTTTATGGCTGCATTATCGCCAGTCTCTGCCTCCAACTTCATGTTGCCTCCTCTCTGTCTTTTCCTTTTCTGTGTCTTTTAAGCTTGTCATTAGATTTACAGCCCGTCCTCTTAATCTAGAATGATCTCATCTCGAGACCCTTAGCTTTCTTACATCTGCAAAGACCTTTTTTCCCAAATAAGATCACATTCGTAGGTACTAGGGATGAGGACTTGGACATATCTTTTTGGGGGTCACCATTCAACCCACTACCGACAACTTTCACTGTGTTTTCTGATTGCACTGGTTTAGGATCCAGCAGGAGATTCGAGATGCATAATCTCTCGGTCACACTAATGTCAAACTTTATGTCCTTTTAAAAGAGGTCAAACTCTGAAACCCAAGTGTGGGAAGTCCCGGGAGATTTGTAGCATCAGAGATGAAGGTGGACGTTTATAAACCTCATTTTAAAATAAGGAAACCTGGCAATGAAAGTTTACAACGCAGAAACAATCCAGTTCTTTTATAAAGAATGATGTAAGTGATATAACAGAGTTTGAATCAGGACCAAAATACTATAGTAGCTATAGAAACACAAACCAGAAATTTAAAAAATAAAAAAATTTAAAAGGTTATCAGAAAGATCAACTGATGTGTGTGAATGGGGCAGTTTAGATATTTATGTTCACAAACTCAAGTGAAAAAGGAGAGTTGAAGAAAATGATGTCAAGAGGAATGGGTATTGGGGGCAAGGTGGGGAGGAGGAATGGGGGAAGGGGCTGGAACATGAAAAGGGGAAAAGTCTGCAGTGACCAGAATATTTCAGATAAGACCCACTGGTTTGATTTTTTTTTAATCTTATTTATTTTGCTCATCTTCCTTCAAAAGTATTCAGCTGGATGTTCATTTCTGCTCTTGAGTTTTGATTACAGGAGTCCTCTGGTAAATCCTTCTCCCTGATCTCTCTCCAGCTCTTTGAAAGTGAATCCCTAATTATAGGCCATGTATAAGATTGACTAGATGAAATCAGCAGCTGTAGATATGACACCAGACTCGCAAAAAATCAACACACTGTCGCCATAAAAAGCCCAATTGTTAATTGCTTCTTTGGCATCTGGCTATGACAAAAACACCCTTTTGCTGTTTAATATCAAAAGTAAATGTAGTGGAAAGAACATCGGGCTAGCATTAGGGAGGCTAGGATTCTCGTCCTGGCCCTGCTGCCGAGCGCCTGTGGTTTGAGGGCAAAATATTTCATTTCTCTCAGGCCTCGGTGTCCTTATCCATAAAAGTGAGGACATGAAACCAAATTCTCACTTCCAGCTTGAAAATTCTATTCTGCATCTTGAAAATTCAGTGCACTTCTCATTCCCATCTGGCCTTTTCCCAAAACTTTATTTCACAACAACCTAACATAATTTTATAATTTTGTGGTGCGATCAGGAACCACACACGGGTTTAAGCATCTACATCATTTTCACTGTGCAGGCAGCACTTTTCCGGGCTTATTCAGAACTGAAGTTTGCTGTGAGGCCCCACAATTCTAACTGCTTTGGAAATGCAATCCGCCAGTGCTCCACGTTTAATGTTGCAGGGTTGTGTTTTATTCTTGAGAAGTCTGACCCCGGAATGTACATGAAAAGTCTGGAATAGGTACCATTTCAAACTCAGCCATGGTTGGCTGAAGACACAAGCTGAGGCTAGTCCATGAATCAGGGACTTGTGTCCTGGGAGGGGAGAGTGGGGCACAGCCAGCTGGCCCAGGGGCCTCCATCTGCACAGGATCAGAGAGGCATGAAGGCAGCTCAGGTCACAGCCCTGGCTATTACTTCATTTCCCCACCTCTGGTGCCCTCCCACCTTGCTCTGTTTGCTGGGTCCTTTGCCTCCTACATATCTGGGTTGCTGGGAGCTTTGCCCTCCTGCTTTACTCTGCTTGCTGGCTCTGTAACTATCCTCTTTTCACCCAGTTGCTAACCCAAGTAGGACAACCTGCACTCGGGTTCACGAGGGTTCGCCTACTCATATTCTGGTCAGCCACAGCGCAGAGGCCATGTTTTTTGAGCCTCAAGATAGTTGTCCACATGCTGATAATTAAACTCAACTCTTGCCTCTTGTGGGAAAGTCAAAGGGCAGATGGGGAAAGAAACCAGCTCTCCGCATTTAACTCCAGCTCCTGTATTTTAACTCAACAGGCTCTGTTTGGCAGCTATAAATTTCCTTGTTTATAGCTTGCATGCATGTGGCTTATTGTATGAACTTTTGGTGTGTTCTGTGAAAGAACAGAGTAGCATTCATTCTCTTCATCTTTGGTGATCCAGTTATTGCATCTGTTTTGTTATCTCTTGCTAAGTAACAATCCACCCCAGAATTTAGTGGCTTAAAACAACAGTGCTTTATTTCTCACAATTCTGCAGTCTTGACTGGGCTTAGCTGGGCAGGTCTTCTGTTTCTCATGGTGTATGCTTCAATGGAAATATCAAAGATATTTTCACTCACATGCCTAGTTTCTCAGCTGGAATGGGTGAGCATCGCTTCACATGGCCTCTCCACATGGCTAGCTTGGGCCTCCTCACAGCATGGTGGTATCGGGGTAATCAGAGTAGACTTTTTACACTGTAGCAGGCTTCTGGTTTCTAGCTTCTCTTAAAGGCCTGAGTTGACACAGTGTCTCTTCTGCCACATTCTATTGGTCAAAGCAAGTCACAGGCCAATCTAGATTCAAGCAGAGGGGAAATAGCCTCCACCTTTTGGTGAGAGGAACGGTATGCCGGCATAGTGACTGAAGGAATTGATGGTGGCCATCTTTGAAGATTATCTACCATAGTCTCTCTGGTGATACATCTCTTGATTTATTGGTCTTCTCTTTTTATTCTTAATGGCATTATATTGTATAGGAACACAGGGCAGGCAGGAATTAGTCTCATGGCCTTAAACATAAAATCTTTTACCAGCAATTCCAGGGTGCTTTAGAAAGGCATTGCTGCCTCTGCCCGGGACTGTGAGATTGGACACATTACTCAAAGATTTCGTTGACTGCCTTGGGAAATGCAATAATGGCTGACATTAGTGGAGTGCTTGCTGTGGGCCAAACTCTACACTTATGCCTTTTTCATGTATCAAGTTATTAAATCAGAATAATCTTTCCAGGCCTGTACATGTAATTTCAGTGGCAGTTTCTGGGTTGGTTCAGGTGATAAAAATACAGCATGGCAAAGTTGGTACCAAAGATTCAAAAATGCTACCCACACTCAAGATCACCAGCCTCTCCCTTCATAGAAGCACTTATTCCCTTGAGATACTTATTATGCCTTCTCTTTTCCTTCCCTCCCTTCCAGAAACCCTTTTGTCAATTTTATATTCCATTAATTATATGTTTGTCCCACTCTGGTCTCTTTCTAACCCCAAGCCTACCATCTTCCTGCAACTGATGCAAATCAGGAGGGACCCTTGAGGAAGGTCAGGGAACAGAGATCATCCAAGTAGAGTTGAGTCTGTTCTCTGAGTGGAGGAAGTTCTCTGTGACCACACACACAGCTGGTGCCCCCCACCCCCACCCCTCAGGGCAAAGAAATCAGGTGGAGGGAGGGCATAATGTAATACCTGGTTCTGTACTATGCCCACAGTGTACGTTCAGAAAACGTGTTAGGATAATGGCTATTATAATATTATTTTATGCAGGAATGTCAGTAAACCCAGAGCCAGTGCAGACCCTGAAAAAATCCTACTGAGGGAGCAGATAGCATTTTACTATATTGCATTTGTGTATTTTTCACAGCTTTACTGATATATAATTACATACCATGAAGTACATCCACTTAAAGTGTACAATTCAATGGTTTTTAGCACTGTTACAGAGTTGTGAGCCATCAACTTGAATCTAATCTTAGAACATTTTCATCACCCCAAAAAGAAATTTTGTTCCCATAGCAGTCATTCCCCTTACCATCCCACTCCCCCAGCCTTAGGCCACTAATGCGCTTTCTGGCTCCATAGATTTGCCTATTCTAGATATTCACATAAATGGAATTATACAATGTGGCCTTTGGTGACTGGCTTCTTTCACTTAGCTTCACTTATCCACTTCACTTATCTCATATAAATGATGGCTGAACTTTTAAATTGGCATTTCTTCACTATATTTTTTTCCAGGATCCTAAACACTTCAAATCAGAGAAGACAGGACGAGGGCAGTTAAGAGAAGGCTGGAGAGATAGTCATCAGCCCATCATGTGTTCCTACAAGCTGGTGACCGTGAAGTTCGAGGTCTGGGGGCTTCAGACCAGGGTGGAACAATTTGTACACAAAGTAAGTGCACAAACAGCAGTTCCTGGGCTGTGGACAAAGTAACTGTCCTTACTGTAGGCTGGAGTGCACGATGCACAACAGATGCGCAAGTGCTGAGCCGACACGAGGTCACTCCGTCTAGAAAACACTGCCTTCATGGAAATGCATTTTACACAAGAGTTTAGTTTTCTTCCACTAATAGATGTTTTACATTTCATCTCTCATTCTATGACCTCCATGTCTGTTGGGTAAGTATATTCAGGAAGTTGGGCTTTCAACACATAGTCCTCCCTTTGTCATCAGGCTAATCTAGTTCCAGGCAGAGGTACTTTTACTGGGTACTTGGGTACTTGGGTTCCAGGCAGAGGCATGGGGCTTATCTGTGTGCAGCCCCCAAGGATAATTCTCACTCAAAAGATCCTGCAAATGTAGACACCTAAGGCAGAAGATGCCCCAAGAGACAGAACAAGAAATCCCAGTGGTCCCGTTAGATGGTGCACCTCAGCATTCTGCTCATTTAATAATTCTGTTACCAAAGAATTATTAACAAGCTCAAAACACAGATTTCAACTATATACCCATTTTGGCTACACATGTTAATTTTGTAGCAGGAACCCACTTGCTGATGATATGTTTGTGAGGAGTTTCTAACATGACCCTTTATCCTCATGGAAAACAATGGGAAATGCAATGTTGAGCATTGCCCTTTGTAACTCCTCCCATTTTCATAAAAATAAATACTACCCAAGCTGTCTCTACATTCCAAATAGAATGGATATCTGTTTATTTTTCCACTAAAAATTGATAAAGAATAGCTTTCTGAAATTCTTTTGGGGGCACTGAAATTTAACCTTAATGCCCTGAGCTTTTTATTACTTAGATGCATTTGTCTACTGAGATTGGGAGACACTTGACAATAAAAATGTATAAAACTTGAATTTAGGTCCAAGAAATAAATTGAACTTGGGCTCGTGGTAATAGTAGACTCTGAATCAAATTTGAGACAGAGAAGTATGCTGATCTCCTGCTGAGCTCCAGAACCCATTCTGCCCAGTCAGAGGTGGGGACCAAGTGCGACATACAGAAATCAAGTTCTGGGACCTCCTGTTTTCCTGCTGTGTCCCAGTTATTAAGCAGGAAGCCAGTTGGGGCTCCCAGAGCAAATATTCTCCAGCCTTAACTCTGTGTCTATCTCAGGCTGTATCTTTCTTGACTGCCTACAACATCCCCCTTTAATTTTTTATTTATTTATTTTTTTGCTGAGGAAGATTTGCCCTGAGCTAACATCTGTGCCAATCTTCCTCTAGTTTGTCTGTTTTTTTACACTTATTTATTTTTTTAATTTTAATTTTTTTATTTTTTATTTTATTTTTTTTTTTGGTGAGGAAGATTAACCCTGAGCTAACATCTGTTGCCAATCCTCCTCTTTTTGCTGAAGAAGATTGGCCCTGGGCTAACATCCATGCCCATCTTCCTCTACTTTATATGTGGGACACCTGCCACAGCATGGCTTGATGAGCGGTGCATAGGTCCATGCCCAGGATCTGAACCTGCGAACCCCGGGCCACCTGAAGCAGGGCGTGTGAACTTAACCACTATGCCACCAGGCCGGCCCAATCTTCCTCTATTTTGTACATGGGTCGCCACCAAAGCATGGCCGCTGATGAGTGGTATAGGTCCGTGCCCAGGATCCGAACCCAGGCTGCCCTTGTGGAACATGCCAAACTTAACCATGAGGGCACAGAGCTGGCCCTCCTTTTATTTTTTTTTTAACCCAAAATGATCTTCTCTCACTAGGGCCACTACCGTAGTGCATGTTATTATTTCCTCCTCTCAGAAAGCATATTTAGATTGCCACAGGGCTCACTGTGTTTCTTTTCTCCAAGATCACTTTGGCTACTTTTGAGAATCTATTTCTTTAAAATACCTGTAACAAGTACTCTCTAGTAATAGACATTCCCATTGCCCATTTCCAAATATAATGAAGTGCTATCAACGCCCAGAAACACACCTGCTTTGGCACATGAGTTGCTAATGAGTATCTGAGGCTAGCATTTGCATGGGTTTAAAGTGCCAGGGATGCCTTTCTCTGAACACCTTTGTTTTTTTTTAAGAATCTGTTCACAGTTAAGGGAAAAAAATGTTCAACAGCGAGCCATTAGCACATTATTGAATTCTTGTTTCCAGCAGACAGCTGTGTTGTGCTTAATGTAATAGGGTATATTTACGGATGCCTCAATGCTAGTCTTTTGATTTCCATGAATTTGACACACTCAGCACTCAAGTGTGTATGGCTTCGTGTTGTTTCTTATTTTCACTATGTGTTTCCTCCTTCCAAATCATAAAAGCCTCACTAGATATTCAGAAGCCTGGAGTAATAAACACTTCATTATAAATGCTTCCCTTGTTTCTGAAAATTCACCAAATTAAAATCCTTCGTTTATTGAAACATGCTTGAACCTTCCACAAGAGGTTTCTGACAATTGCTGGATTTGTTTGGCAGGAAGAAAGGAATGTTGGAAGGATAGTGTGAGAATCCAAGAAACATAAAAAGGCATATTTATAGAGGACACAAAAGAAAACCATGAAAAAAAAGCACATGAACAGTGTTACACACACACACACCCACACACACACACTGATATATATTATTTTTCTTAGTCTTCCATTGCCATTATGTGCACCATAAGAAACAATTTCATTCCTTTTGTCTCCAGTCAGTCTTATCATTCCCATTATGTTCTTTTCTAGTTCAGGTCTCTTATTTTATCTCTTTCAATAATAGTTGATGAAACTGCTTTTTTTTTCCTTCTATTACATGAAAGTCAAGCCTACAAACATTTATTTATCTTGTATTCCACACCTTCATTTATTAAAAAAAAAAATTTAACCAATATTTAGGATATTTCACCTAAGAAGAGAGAGTGTGAAGTGTTTTTGCTTAGAAGTGACTTGCTGCCCAGAAAAATGTTCTTGATTTCCGACATTTATGACCTCCTGGCATCAGTGAGACATACCCTTCCACAAATGATAAGTAGAACCAGTTTTAGGGAAAGATGAATGAAGAGAAAAATCTCAAGGTGATTAGCCTAGAGACTCATTCCAATCACTGCTGTGTGACTGCCAAGTAGTTGTCATGAGTTTGTACATACCCCCAGCCTGACTTTCAAATAAGATGAAGAGATTAATTTACAGCAAGTATATGCACACCATTGAAAGGGCTGAGGGTGGGCCAGCACAATATCTGTGTATGTCAGCCTGTAATTGTCATCACATATGGACAGAGGGATGAAGACATTTGTAATTGCCACAATTGCTAGAATTGGGAACAATCTATTTTCCAGAGTGTTTTCATCAAACTTGGTGTTATTTCAACCTCCTTTTACTTTTTTAGGTGGTCCGAGATATTCTGCTGATTGGACATAGACAGGCTTTTGCATGGGTTGATGAGTGGTATGGTAAGTCATCTTCCCTGAAATAACTTGTAGAGCAAGTTCATAACATGTTGACTTGAGCTTTCCATCCATCTGGCTTCAACTGCTACCTAGAAAGACAACAGAAAGAAAGGCAGGGCCACTGTTTCCTGGATTGGAAATAGCACTGTCCACGGAATATAATGAAGAAGAATGTAATGATAGAAGCTTGGTCTAAAATAACCACAATACTTAGTGATTGCCTAAGGAGGACCTCAGTATGTTTGATGCTGGCATACCTGATAACACAGGGCTCCATAATTCTCTGTTGGATGGGTTTCAAACCCATCCTAATTTATCCCAAACGTCAATTCAAGATCAAAGCTGTCTGAAGCATCATAGCAAGTGAAAGCAGTCCTTTGATTTAGAGAACACTTGAAACACTCCTTCACCAAAAACATAAAGATTCTGCAAGAATTCAAGGGCAAAAGCATAGGTGCCACCTTAATCCTAACTGAGACTATTGTTCTAGCTTTTTTTTTTTTTCATGATTTGAGAAGAGTTCAGCAAGTTCTACACATTTCCAGTAAATGGAAACAAGGTTTGCTTCATTCCATGATGGATGGACCACCCTTCCCAGATCCTCAGCACTATCGTTTTGTCCACGTGAATACCCTGCATTCCCAGAATCAGTCATCAGAGGCTGGTGTCCTTGACTATAAATAGAAATGAACAAGCCCAACTGGTGACTTGGGTTAGATCAGATTGTCTAATGAAAGGCCCTTCTCCTTGGTCTTTTCCTAAGTCAAATTGAATTTGTTCTGAATGTAACCTAGATTGTGTTTTGGTGCTTTTCTGTCATTGTTCCACCATTTCCCTCCCTCTTAGCGGAAGGTATCAAATTTAAAGTGAAAAGATACACTGGACTGAATGGGCAAAGACAGTGATTGTTATTAATGTTGTTAGCTGTTTCTGAGCCACATTTAAAAAGACATGGTTCCGTAGGCTGTGGGCTTTTTACTTTTTGCAGTTTTCCCAGATCCGCATCTTCTGAAGAGCAAATGCTTCTTCCTGGGTTTGCCTAAATTCAGACCTCTGAAAGAGATCCTTTTGAAAGATCTTAATTTACTCTCTCTTATCACACACCTCCCCGAGGCTGCTCACACACAGCAAGTGTACTGGCTTGCCACTTCGTCATGACATCTCCCTAAGACCTGTCTGTTTGTGGGTGTCTCTTGTGACGCAGGTGGAGGGAGAGTCTCCTGTGATTACTTCCCCTGATCATTAAACAAGTCTTTCTCTTTTTTCTGGGGAGCTTTTCTTAGATTCTTACAGGGAGCACAGAAAAGGTTAAGAACTGCCAGTCTCTCCCAACTTGCATTCCTCCAGGCTCGTGGTGTCCTTGCCACCAACACTCAGGGAATATCAAAAGGATATTCAAAGAATTATAGGCTCAAACTGATTAGACGTTTGGCAAGTGAACAGGGACCTGAAGGGCCAAAACTCTGCCACTTTGAAGACCATGAAACAGGGCACTTGAATAGAGTTCTCTCTAGTGCCAGGATGCCATAGAAGACTTTTCAGAAAAGGCAGCATCAAAAAGGGTAGCTGGGTCCTGATTAAGAGGACAAAACACTGCAAGCCTGTTGATCAGAAAAGACAGTTTGGGTTGAGACAGGACACAGAAAGAAAAAAATGTGGGCAGGCATCTAGTAAGTGAAGGGCTGTGGTACAGAGGATGGGGGCCAACTCTTTTCTGTCTCAGCTGAGCTTGGGGCAGGGAAGAGACTTAAAGACTTTTAGTCCAAAAAAAAAAAAAAACCCCAAACTCAGGCTGTTACAGGGCCAGAGCTAGAATAATGCATCAAAGGAAACTGGAGATCTCCAGTCCTAGAGACCTTTAAGAAGAGAACCCTCACCTATTTACTTATGATGGGTTAGGTGGAGACAGGAACAACTCAAGGAGTCTATTGACAAAAAGCCCTTTCTGTATCTGAGTGCAGAAAAACAGCAAGTGGTTTAGTAGATGTAGATCTACTCCCCAGAGAAGGTCTCCACCCCCTATATACACAATCCTAGCCCCAACCAAAACAAGCAGCCTTTTCACTCAGCAAGGGGTCGGAGACCCACCCCATCAATTTCATGTAAATTACTGGCCTCACTGTCAGCTGAGCTGCTTGCCGGGGAAACAGTGGCTCCTTCATTACACAGATGCAGACTCTCAGTCAGTCAAATAAATGGAAATGGCCCTGCCCACAGAGTGCCTTCTCAGTCCTGCTCAAGGGAATGCTGGAGACTGTGGGCCTTTCAGGTAAATGAGTGTGTCGCTGTCCCCCAGGATAGCCCTTCAGTTTTGGGTACCTGCAGTTGCTTATTTTTCTTTGGTCTGTACAGGCTCAGTGAGGCTCTCATTACTAAACACGGACAAGGTCCAAAGTAAAGAAATCCTTGCCTATTGCTTATAGCTCTGGTTCTCAAAGTGAGGTCCCTGGACCAGCAATATTAGCATCCCCTGGGGGCCTGTTAGAAATTCAAATTCTCAGGCCCCACGCCAAACCTACTGAATCAGATACTCTGGGAGTATAGCCCAGCAATCCGTGTTGTAACAAGCCCTCCAGATGATTCTGATGCTTACTAAAGTATAAGAACAACTTTAAATCAGATTAGATTGCAAGGACAGTTTAATTAACTCAGTCCAAACAGGTTAGACTAGAGAATGGTAGATGTCTTCAGGGCCAACTGCTAAACTATGATGCTTTGTGAGAATTGGAAAAAGGCACCCCTCCTGGACAGATTCAGCAGGTGCTATCGGCTTAGGGTGGAATTTTAGCCCCATTGACCTCCTGGGCTGTGTGTTCATACTGTGCATAAACTATATACCCTTATGCAGTGGCAGCCCTAGATGTCTTGCTGCCTAATTAGACTCACCACCTCCAGTGCTCAATTAAGAGTTAAAAAAAAAAAAAGGATATAGTAGATGATGGTGATCTTTTCTTGCCCAAGGGTTAATTTTGTATCTTTTCTCAGTTTCAGCATTTGGCTGCCACATAGCTATTTCCCCAAACAGATTTTATTCTACTCATGTTCATTATAAAGTGTAACCATTTCCACTGTTGGAGGAGTTGAGTTTGTCTTTTAAAGCCTTGATTGGTCTTTATCCATGAGCCTTGGGTCTCTCCTGCATGACTGGAACACTAATCAGAGAAGAAACACCACCACATTTCAGAGATGGGGTGAGAGGCCTATAAAAATAGGCATCCCAGCTTCACAGAAACATGGTTTTGCTTTCATAAATTTGACAGTATTCTGAGAGAGGAATACAGAGGATTGCCAGAGGCAGGCTGTGATTAAGTGGAACCTCATGAATGTCTTTGAAATCCTGACCCTTCCAAAAAGGTATGGGCGGTAGTTCTTGCTAGTATGGATGAAACTCCCGCATGAAAGTGACTTGGAAATCATTCTGGAGTCTCCAGAGAAGGCCTAACCACCAAGCAAGCTCCAGGTAGAGAAATAGGCCTGCTTAGGGACTAGCATTGGTTGGTTGAGTTCACCAAGCCAGCATTTTCCAATGGCCTCAGGTTTCCTGAAATATGAACTTGAGTATCCTGGCTCTTGGGCAACATTTCATGTGTGTGTGCCTATGTTCATTTTTCTGGGGAGAGAACTCATTTCCACCAGGTTTTCAAAGGGATCTGTGACCTCCTCCACCTCCCCAAATTAAGAACTATGGGAAAAAATCACAATTGTGGATTACATTTCTGGATCTTAGTGGTCTGAATCACATGGAAAGGGTATGCACCAAGCCTTGGATTGGCTACTTTCCCTACAAAAAGGTGGACCCATCCCTAAGCTATTCATAACAAGCATGTATTGAATTTATAATCATTTTAAAGAGTTTAGAAACAAAAACAAGCTCTTGCCAAAGGATGGCCACCGTTTTGCTAGAGTCAAAAGAATATCAAATCTAATTCATGGGGGCCAGCCCGGTGGCATCGTGGTTAAGTTTGCGAGCTCAGCTTCAGTTGCCCAAGGTTTCCAGGTTCAGATCCCAGGTGCGGACCTATGCACCGCTCATCAAGCCATGCTGTGGTGGCATCCCACATACAAAATAGAGGAAGATGGGCACAGGTGTTAGCTCAGGGCCAATCTTCCTCAGCAAAAAGAGGAAGACTGGCAACAGATGTTAGCTCAGGGCTGATCTTCCTCACCAAAAAAAAAAAAAAATCTAATTCATAATTGCTGGAGCCTCCCCCACCCTCACCCAACTACTTGTTCAAGACTTCCATTTTGACTTAGAGTGAGAAAAAATTACTTCTGTTTAGGTGAGGAGCCTGGAAATGGAAAGAAAAATGTTTGTAGAAGGAAATAAAACATAATGTGCCATTGGACAGGTCATGGAATTAGCATATAGACTTTTTATTAAAATTTTAACTGCTGTAGCTGTGCAATACAATGAAGGAAAATTCTTGTTTGCAGACATTTTGTTCCATAGCATTTGTAGTTTCTCTGTATGTTCTATTCTAAAGGCCTTTCAAATATATGATCTTGCCTCCACTTCCTGTGAAATCAACCTGACAGCTTTAAAAATAAAATGAGTGATAGAAAATTGCCACCATCAACAAAGTTGAAAAACTAGGCAACATGTGTGGCCAACAGAGGATTAATATCTATAGTATATAAAGAGGGGCTATAAATAAAACATCCAACAACTCAATAGAAAAAAGCTAAAGAGTATGAATAGGTAAATCATAGAAGAAGAAATGCAAATGGCCTATAATCTTACCACTAATCACAAGAAATGTAATGAAAATAACAAGAGGATACAACATTTGTCTATCTGATGGCAAAAAGAGAATGATAATACCCAGCTTTGGATGGGTGGGACAACAATTTAACAGTTTCCGTAAAAATAATAAGTACAAATAACCTATGATCCAGCAATTCCACTTCTAGAAATGTATTTTTAAGGAATATACATGTGCTCATGAATATAGGTACAAAGCTATTTAGTACAGTGTTGTTCATAAAAGCAGAAAATTAGTCTCAGTGTAAATGTCCATTAACAGGAATATCGTCAAGTAAATTATGATACACTCATACTATGAATATTATGTGCAACAGTTACACAGAATAAGATAGTTCTGTATGTACTGGCATGGAAATAGGTACATTTTCTATCAGTGGAAAAAGCAAGCCAGAACAATAGGTATAGTATAGTATACTATAGTGTGATTCCATAAGTGTAAAAATAAATGAGACTTTGTATGTGTGTGTAGTAACATACATATGAATTCATAGAAAAAGAAATCTGGCAGCTTGTGCCTCAAACTCTTAACAGTGGTTATCTCCAGAAAGAATAGGTTTGGTGGGGGAGGTTCAAAGGAGTTAAACTCTTTTCTCTATGTAATCTAGTACTATTTGAATTATTTCTATGGAATATAATTCATGCCTTACTTGAGTGAGTCAATAAGTAAATAATAATTGAAACCCATATTTTGTAAAAAAGTAGAAAATGGTTGAAGCGGACCAGGGCTCATATAGTTGAGGTGTATTTTGCTTTTTATTGAGAACCTTTAGTTCATGGTTTAGGATATCGAAGAAGATTCCTCAATTAACAAATCCTGTGGGTCCAGAGCTTCTTTGTCAAAGCTGGTTCTACTTTGGCCGATTCAGGTTGACCTTCACATGCTGGGATAGGAGACTGGGATCTGCTCTCTCCTCACCCGAAGGAGGATGAGAAAGAGAAGGAAAGAAATGGTCTCACAAGAGGGCAAAGAAAGGAAATCTTGTTCCACTGAAGTGCAGTAAGGAGGGCATTTATACCCCCAGAATACTTCCCAGTGCCAATTATATCAGTCAGCCTCTGATAGCCAATGTCAGAGAAATTAGGCTGTACCTTTCTTATCAGAAGAAATACCATACTAGTTCCAATATTCTCTTAAATCAGGCGGTTAGCCTAGTGTTATTTGTTTAAGAAGCCTTTAAGAAACCTTATTAAGAAAAGTAAATTATGACCTTTCAAATCTCTAAATTAAGGGGTGATTATTTATCAGTTTATTTGCAAAATAATTGACATAGAATCCTTTAATTAAGAGTTTCTCTGATACACTTAAGCACTTGTTTGCTGGAAGCAAAGAGATCTGAACCTAAATTGTTAGAAGTCACTCTGATCATTGAAAATCAATCAGTAATGAAGATGAATCATCTCTGAAAATGTAATCTATCATTGGGCACGTGTAATTGAATTTACTAAAAAATTGATTCATATATAGATTTTGAGGTAATATACTTTGCAGAAGCAAGACATACTGCATTTTACCAGATAACCTGAACAGGAACATTTTCACTTGATTAGGCTTTCCATAAATTACCAGGAATATTGAAAATGTTTATATCATTTCCATAAGCATGTATGGTATGTGGGGATGGTTCAGGATTTAGATATATTTTCCTTCAGCATCAGCAGGGACCAAATTATCATCTTTTAGAAAACCACTTTACTAGAAATGTTCATTCTTTTTTTTTTTTTTTTTTTTTTTTTAAAGATTTTATTTATTCATTTTTTTCCCCCCAAAGCCCCAGTAGATAGTTGTATGTCATAGGTTCACAT